TTAGCGGGCCTGCGTGCCCATGCATGTTTTCCGTTCTCTTTTGTAATGAACTACGTTCGACTTGATCCCGTTTGGGTACGTAGGCAGCTTGGATGCAATATAAATCCAAGTCCAGTCCAAACAATTAATAAATCCAAACATCGGGTATAACAGCCCCTTCAAGCCTTGTCCTTGACAAGCCCTTCTGAGCCTTGTCCTCGAGCAAGCCCCTTTGAGCCTTGTCCTCGAGCAAGCCCCTTTAAGCCTTGCCCTCGAGCAAGCCAATTTAAGCCTTGTCCTCGGGCAAGCCCCTTTAAGCCTTGCCCTCGAGCAAGCCAATTTAAGCCTTGCCCTCGAGCAAGCCAATTTATGCCTTGCCCTCGGGCAAGCCCCTTTAAGCCTTGCCCTCGAGCAAGCCAATTTAAGCCTTGCCCTCGAGCAAGCCCCTTTAAGCCTTGCCCTCGAGCAAGCCAATTTAAGCCTTGTCCTTGACAAGCCCCTCTGAGTCTTGCCCTCAAGCAAGCCCCTTTAAGCCTTGTCTCTCACAAGCACCAAAATCCTGGAGCTCATAATCAGTACAATAGTGCAGCACAAGTATAAATCCCGAGGATATACATCCCGACCATATATCCTTATATTTTTGGCAAAAGCTGAAAAATGAGAGCTCGGGATAAAACTACGTACAAAGGTCGGTCACATAGGTCGGTTACAATTCTTCGAATACCCCGAGGTAACCGCCCATCGTGATTAGTCCTCGAGATAATTCAATATAAACGTCGGGACAGATTTACCGTCAAGCTGTTGAACTATTCGCTATTATCCCCGGCATTAAGACTTGTTTAAAAATCAGATTGATTTGTTTCCAATCGTCATGATTTTTATTCGTCGGGATATTAATTCGATATTGTCGTCGAGGATATTAATCTTCTTAGTCGTCGAGATAATTAGTTGTCTTTATCGTCGAGATAATTAATCCTTCTCGGTCGTCGAGATATTGGTATAGTTCGGCTCATATGAAATAAGAAACACGACGATAAACTCGGTGGAAAGGAAAGAAACTATTTCCATTAAGATCGGGCATTTTACAACTACAAAAAATAAAATAAAATTTTACAGAATACGCTCGGTAAATTCAGGCGTCGGTATCCTGACTGCCTTGGCCTTCCTCGACGTCATCGCCCTCGATATCGACGTCTTCATCCCCAGCGTTCTCTTCAGACTCTGAAAGATGAAGGTCGTCAGCCACCTCGGGGATTGACTTCAGATCCTCAGGGCGAGCATCTGGCCTCAGGCGCATGAAAGCTCGAGCTTCCTTCAGAGCATGAAAGTAAGAGCCCATAGCATAGTCGCCCTTTAACTCGTTGAAGGCATCAGACTTCTTGAAGTCCTCGATCGCTTCCTCCCGAGCACTGGCCAGCTTCTCATCAAAATCTTTTTTAAGCTGATCGAGCTCGAGCTTGAAGTGCTCAGCCTCAGCCTTCGCAGCACCTGTTTCACCCTGAGCACTGCGTAGATCATTTTGCATACGCTCGCGCTCCCTCAGTAGCTGAGCTCGCTCTTCCTCCAGGTCGGCGATCCTCAGATCCCGAGCAGAAACGGCACCCTCGAGGTCGGCCATTCTTGAAGACTCATCCTTTTCCTTCAAGGAAAGGCCCCGAGCTATTCCCAGTGTCTGCAGAATGGTACAAGGTTAACCTCGGGACCTGAAGTTAACAAAAATAATGTGAAAACAGTCAACGAGCTTACCTTCAAGGCCATAGCCTCGAGAGCCCTCAAGCCATTGCTTAAGTCGACATCGGCCCGGTATTTGTCGACGATGCTGAGCACTGAGTGGCACCGAGAGCATCCCTCGGGATTAGCAGGCCCCGGTGGCAGGCTCCCATCCTCGAGGTCGACCACATCAACAGGACCCCGAGGAACTGACTCCCAAGGAGTCCCCTGATGATCCTGCTGTTGAGATCCCGTCCTCGCTATTCCCGGAGACGGTTCTCGGGGCCTTGAAGATTCCCCAGGCCCACTGGTCTGCCTTTCCTGCCTCGATTCCCGAGGTCTCTTCTGGCCCCTCCTCTGACCGGGAGCCCGAGCCTGGGGAGCCTTGGACTTCTTGTTCACTGCCTGACGAAGGGCACTTGGATCAAACGTCATCTCTGCAAAAATAAAAATTACATGTAATTAGCACGAGCATAGCAAGAATACAGATCGAGAATTTAAGCGTCAAGTTCACATATCCTACCCTCGATTCCCTTCATGTTTGCAAGCTCGAGGATATCGTCCCCGAGGATATCATCCAAGTCATAAACGAGGGGCTCGAGCTCCTCTAGCATTTGCCTATGCCTCTCCAACGATTCAAAGTATGCCTGACCCCCACAAAACCTAGCAGTATCAGGAACCCCCCACCAAGGACTAAAGGGAACGTCGGGATCTTGAGGTATAGCATAGAACCACTTATCCTTCCACCCCTTCAAGGAACTAGGCATCCTCGGGATTCTAAACCCTCCTCGGGTTGAGAGGTAAGCAAAACAAGAGTACTGGGGGAGTTGTTTTAGGTCGAAGACCATCCTACACAAGTCGACGTATGGGATAATCCCGAGGTATCTACAAGCTATAAAGAAGTATGTCAACATCCTCCACCCGTTCGGCACTAACTGTCCCAGGCTCATGTTATGCTCGGTCAAGAGCGCGAGGAAAAAGGGGTGCAATGGCCACCTAAATCCCCCCTTTAGAGAATCCTTGAAAATGACGAACTCTCCCTCCCGAACAATAGCTACCCTCTCCTCATTACCCGGAGACCTAATATCACAGTTCGGCATCAGGCCGAATTCCCTAGCAGTCGCCACGGCTAAGTGCTCTTTAAACCTACAAGGGTGGTCGGGATACACTAGTGGGGTCGGGATATCCTGGGCTCGAGGATTTGCACTTATGGGGACGGCCATAGGTATTATCGACTGCCCTAAGTCCTCGGTTGGTGTTCCCGAACTCGAGGATGACGTATCGCTATCACTACTCGACATCCTATCTTAAATATAGACTTTTCTAAAAACAATTAACTTAAAGTCTTGAGGACTCACCTTATCCCGACGATTCCGACAAGCCTTCCCCATTCTGTTTTCTATTTGGTTACTGATATAACCAAGTTTGTTCCCGACGTATACACATACCCGATGACTCAATTTCGTCGGTGTGTGTATCAAAATGCTCGGGACATATGTGCTCGGGACATATGTGCTCGGGGTATCCCCCTAAATGCCCGGGCTATTATCCCGAAGAGTCATTCATCAATCATTCGACATATCCTCGGGGTTTTGTCCTCGGGATTATGACCTACGACAGCGCCTCATCCAACGAGAGATTTATTCTGACTAAAAATCCTCAATTCATGTCTCCTATGCCCTGAAGAACTCTATTGGTATCACAGTTATACCTCAATTCAAACTCCTATCTCGCGTAGGACTCATTGGTGTAAGATTGCAAAATCAAGCTATCCTACTACAGGTGCAACACGGAATCCTAATATGAACACACCACCTACCTCTATAAATACAGAACCTTGGGCCATTATTCAGGTACGTTTTTACATTGTTCTTCAGCATATAGCCTCACGCATATATTTCCCTTTCTGACTTAAGCATCGGAGGGGCGACGAGAACACACCTCGTTGCCTTTGTTTCAGGTATTGGAAGATCACGTTCGTGCTCATCATCAGTCATCAAGCTCGGAAAATCTACAGGTACTATTTTTGGTAGCATCACTGGGCACTAAGGCAGGCTTGTAGACCAGATACTTGTTTTTTCCCCCAATAAAGACTTATCAGCGTTTTCTTCTCTATATTGTTCTGGGTTTTAATTATAACAAATGGATTAGTATGGAGTTTTTTAACTTGAAATACAAAAATTTTATAATTTGTACTGTAGTTTCAACAGAAATGATAATAATAAAGGTGGGATGGTATCCAACAAAGCTGACTTTAGCTTCTGTTCTTTCTAGACTTGCCCGGGTTCACTCACAGTGTGTAAAAAAGAGACCATGCTTTGATAACACCTGAGAGTCACGTTTTCTGCCCATTACCGGACTGGTATTTTCATATCCTAGTTTGTCTTAACACATTAGTATAGACCCTTGCTTTTTTACGTTTTTTCTTCTCTTATTTAATTTGATTGGACTTACAGGATTAACACAATGGGTGCTTATCTAATTACGCTGGCAATGGGCTCACAGTTTGTTATGTACTTGGCAAAGATGCGAGGTGAGGTTTGGAAATTTCCTGACTTCTGTCACTTAAAAATCAAGTTTTTGGTTCAGGTGCCGTGCATTCGAGGCTGAGTTAATAATTATGGGTTGATGATAACCATGAAAGAGATTTTGTATATGAGTGTGGATAATATGTTTTGGAAGTTTTATATCATGTTTTCTGTTACATTTCTTTATTGTTTTAAAAATCCTTGTTCATTCTTCTGCAGAAAACTCTAAATCTGGCTCGCCTCCAATTGGTGCTGAGAGGTGTGGACTCTTTTTACTTTCCACTTTGAGAAACTTAGACTAGAGTTCTGTTTTTAATATTATGATGCACAGCCAGCTTGCATACGATTGTATTAGAGGTTTGCTTTGCATTTGATAAACTATTTGCTGTCTGTCTTGTGTTTGCACATTCAGATTTGTTTTTGTGCTTCAAGATACGGTGACTCTCATTGCTGTATTGGACATCAGTCACAAACTAGAGGTACAAGTGCTAACTCGTGTTCTGTTCGCTCTGTTTTTCACGGTGTAAGGACAGCTTAACCTTGTTTTGATCATGAATTTTTTCAAGTTAGGAGTAGAAATCACGTATTTGCTCTAGTAAATCAATAAAAACTCGTTGCCTACCATACAAAAGTCACCTATAACTTGTCAGGTCGTTGTATCAAATGTCCTAGGAGCTGCTGTAATTCAGATTCAAATTCGTCATTAAAACTTCGTTGATGTTCTCTAGGTTGAACAAACCTTGATAAGCTCATGCTACTTGACCTGTAAAACAATGAAGAAAAGTCAAATAATATTTTCTGTAAATTTGCAGGTGGATTCATATGCTTATCTTCCTCCAAACTCGAAACATTCCTTGAAATCTGTTGACACACTAAAAGTGCAGCCCAAATCAAATAGTCCAAAGAGTGAAGCCCAATTGGAGAATCCAGGATAAAGGTCCAAACAGGATTATTGATGAATGCGGTGAAAGTCCACGAACACGGTAACATCATCGCCCAAACTTGCAAGACGCCCAGAATCTGAGCGAATGGAGTACCTTACGGTCGCCTAGAGCGATGAGCCCGTTCTCGTCCAAACCTTCGAATCGCCCAGGATCTTAGCAAGTATAAAACATTATGGTTATCCAGAATAGCAGTTATTGAAGCAGTTATTGAATGATCTTATCACATTCCACGATTCAAGGAGCCCAATTGAAGGCGGTTGAGCGACAAAGAGTAATGACAATAGTTAGAGACGGCAGTTCCACGACAAGTTAGCCATCATAAAGAAAGTGGGTAGTTATACAGCAATCAAACAGCTTCCAAGCGGTTTGTCATGAAGAAATCATCAAGGGAATATAAAAAAGAAGAGAAGACATAGAGAAAAAGACCCCGAATCAAACACTCTCAAATAGAGAATATGTAATTTCGATTTCTTAGTTTAAACTTAAACACTTCTTTTAGTACTCGTGTGCTTGCGTCCCTTGGAGGCATTTCGTTTATTTCCAATTGTAAATCATCGCCAATAAAACACCCCTTTTTGAGACTTTGTCGTAAGAGGTCAGTTCCTTACACAATCGTCTGATTCCTTTTTAATTGTTAGCGACTACCCGCGCGAAACAATTTGGCACGCCCAGTGGGACCTTGGTGTTTGGTGTTGAAAATACAAAATGTGAAACAATATGCCTCACAAATTTGATAAGGAAGCAGCAAGTCAGGGAGGAGTCCAGTCTGTGATCGAGCGATATGAGGAGCAGCAAAGCTCTCCACGAACAGAGGGACAGAGTCAGAGCAATCACAATCGTTACGAACTAATGACAGAGTTGAGTCCTCGAACCATGCGTGCATTGCTTGGAGAACTCATACAGGATGTCGTTGAACAGGTAAATCTACGAAATGTTCATAATATGGAAAGATTTACCCAGAATGGGAATGCAAATTATGACAACATGGCCAAACAACTGAATACATTAAATGAAATAACGAAGAAGTTAGTAGGCCAAATTTGTCAGCCAGTTGTGTCTATTGCAAATCACTTTCAAATTAGGACAATCGTGGGACATAATTTCCCAATCCTAAGTCAAAATCAGGGGATAGAACCACTTTTTGGTCCACCTACTTCAAACCAGGGGATAGTGTAATGTCAAATCAGAATAGTGGTAATGGTACATCTAACTTACAGTGTCCTAAATAATGGACATAATACCCCACATGTCAATGATGGAATAAATATTCAGGCTAATGGTAACAATGACCCAAATCATGGCAACTTTGTTGCCAACCAAGGACCAAATATCAGGCCTCAGGCAAATCAACCGACCAACCAACCTGTAGGAATTCCATATGACCTCAACGTCATGTTGAGAAATCAAATTATAGAAATAGTACATGATCAAATGGCTTTTGGGGTACGTCCTGTAATTAGGTCGACTTACACAAAGCCATACCCTGATTGGGTAGACCAAGCATATCCATGGTCTAGATGGTATAAAGTGCCAGAATTCTCATTATTTACCAGTTTAGGAGAGGTGTCTACTCTAGAACACATAGGTCGATTCACACTGCAAAGTGGTGAAATAACTGACTATCATAAAATGAGGTTGTTCCCTAGTTCATTAACAGGAGTAGCTTTCTCTTAGTTCATCAATTTTCCAGCGAACTCTGTTCAAACATGGCAACAATTGGAGCAATTGTTCCATGCTCAATTTTATAAGACTGAGTCTGAAGTTACTTTGACCGATTTGGCGAATCTACGTCAAATGTCAAACGAATGGGCAAAAGGTTTCCTTCAAAAGTTCAAGACAGCAAGAAGTAAATGTTTTATACCTTTGCCCGAAAAGGAGTTTGTCAAAATTGCTCAAAAAATTGCCTAAGCTTTGATTTGAAAAAGAAATTCCAAGACAAGGAATTTTCTGATCTTTTCCAATTGAGCGCAAACGTGATTAGGTATGAACGATTAATAAGAGAAGAAGAGCAAATGAAAAATTCTAGCAAGGGGACTTATTATAGAGACCCAAATTTTGATGTTCATACCATTAATGACGAGTATTACGATCGAGCCGAAATGTGTTTGGCCGAATTAATCAAAGGAGACGCGTATACTTGTCCTATAATGGCTAAGCCTAGATCGTCGGGTAAGGATGAGCCTATAAAAGATGAAAACAAAAAGGCTAGAACGTTCTCGTTCGATGTAACCAAAGCTAACCTTATATTTGATAAACTATATAAGGATAAGCAGATAAATCTGAGCGATAAACATAAGTTGCCAGGCCCTGAACAAATCAAGGGTAAAAAATATTGTAAGTGGCATAATGCATGGTCGCATTTGACTAACAACTGTTTGGTTTTTCGCCATGTGTTACAGGACGCTATTGAATCAAGACGAATTACGTTCGAGGATAAGAAGAAGATAACAGTGGATGAAAACCCTTTTCCACAGCCACGTGGGGTGAACATGGTGACGACTGGTTTCGAAAACAAGTTGCCAAAATTTAAGTTGGTTATAGATGACGGAGAAGAGGACCCTGGGCCACACCCCAGTGTCTTTGAACGTATCAAAGGGAAGGAGCCTAAAAAAGATGAAGATGTCCTGTGTGCAAGATGTAAAAGAGAAGTGAGTGCAAATACAGAGAAACCAGGGATATGGCAGCATCACCATCGCCCTAGTTTTCTCCCAAACGCTCAGCCTGGTAGAGGACAAGATACATCATTCTATAGGGGACCGCCTTTTGAGAGGCAATTTAGGTCAATAAATAATGGGAGAACATTCAGGCCACAACCTCGCTAACCAAATGAATGACATTCGTTCCAGTATAATGCAGGAAGAGTGATACCCTTCAACGAGATGACTAGAGCCCAACAAAGATGTTTTCAACGGAATTATGGACGAATGATGAGGCAACAACAGGGAGTGTCACATCCTAAGGCGCCTAAACTACTCAAGGTGGCCAATCAAAATGTTCTCGAAGACAGTGAGGAGACTGGTACAGGTGAATCGATGGAAGAATTCCCAGAGAGTTCTTCTGGGAGATCGAAGTTTGAGCGAGGCAGAAAGGATGGAGAAGATCCAGATCAGCCCCTTACTATTCAGTTCGGTACGTTACCTCCTATCATGGCTAATAACTATTTACTAGCCAATGAGTTCAAGAACAAAAAGAAAGAAAAAGAAGAGATGGACGATAACGAGGAAGAAGCATGTGTACTGAATGTGAAGAAGGCCAAACTTCTAGAGGGGCCCACAATGGTGAAGAGGATGATGGTATGACGGACATCGAAGAGGAAATTGATCTGGAAGCAGAAAGAAGAAAGAGAGGAGTATTGCACAATACTCTGTTGAAGCAACTACATCGAGAGAGAGTTCGTAAAGTGGACTTGTTGGGGAAACCATCTGGGCGTTCTTTCGATTATTACGTGCTGTATGGGACGCCCAAGAGGAAAAAGAGAGTACCTCGCTTTGAAAAGTATGGATTACCTCCAAGAATAATACCTCCTCCCACAGGTTGGGTAACCGAAGAAGAAGCATTAGAAAACAATAAAAAGGAAATTCAGGAAGCAGAAGCTCAGTGCGACATACTGCATATTGACTTATCACAAAATGATAATTCAACAGAGAACAAGCAGGAAGTGGAAATAGATACTGCCTAAAAGGTTATTTTTAAAAGACCAGCCATGAAGTTAACTAAACACTTGAGACCGTTGTACGTTAAGACTTTAGTTAACGGTATACCTGTGGCGAAAGTACTTATTGATAATGGAGCAGCTATAAACACCATGTCATCTAGGATAATGATGAAATTTGCAAAGACAGAAAGTGATGTGATTCCAACAGAAGTCATCCTTACAAGTTTCAATGGAGGAGCAACTTCAACTAAAGGGGTTATGCCATTGGACTTAACTGTAGGGACAATTACTAGGACCACAGTCTTCTTCGTAATAGATGGTCCTACTAGTTACAATGTGTTATTAGGAAGGGATTGGATACACAAAAATCGCTGCATACCTTCATCGCTCCATCAATGCCTAGTTTTCTGGAATGACAAGGGTGAAGCAGAAGTGGTGCAGGTAGATCATAGACCTTTTGTCGCAGAAGCAAACTCAGTGAAAAGGTTCATGTACGAAGGAAATTACGGACCTGTCAGAGTGGTCCAAGATGGAGAAGAAATTCAAATTGTTGCACAGAGCGAAGAGCCATTTTCGGTAGATGCATTCACTGAAATGTTCAGTCAAATGAGGCCAAATATAGTGGCCCTGGAAGAGCCAGTAATTGGCAAAAAAGTAATCAAGGAGTTTTAAATGAGTTGTGAGCAACAAAGACAAATGGCCGATGTTTAGGCTTTCAAAGCCAAATTAATGGCTTTCAATACAGAATGTAAAGACAAGACGAAAGAAGAAGCAGCCTTAAAAGTATTGGGAGACAAATTGACAGTGTTCGAGCTGGAACAAAGTATTGGCCGAGAAGTCAACAAGGTGGGTTGTTTAGAAGAATAAGTGCCTATAAGGGGAATGGACGACGAAGTAATGAGGATCACCAAGCCTAGATACGCTCAAGCACAAGACCCTCTGATTAAAGTGAATATTGGTAATGAAGGGGAAGATCGCCCAATATTCGTCAACCAGATGCTCGATCAAGAGGTTAATGATAAATTAATCGTTTTATTAAAGGAATATAAGGATTGTTTTGTTTGGGAATATGAACATATGCTTGGTTTAGATAGAGATTTGATGGAACATAGATTGCCAACCAAGCCAAATTTTAAACTTTATAAGCAAACCTCCTAGGTGTTTTGCTCCTAATGTACTTTTTGAGATAAAGAAAGAAATAGAGCGATTATTAAAAGTAGGCTTTATTAGAACAACCAGATATGTAGAGTGGTTGTCCAATATCG